CCATAGGGTTCCCTGAGCACCACCAGGAGTGAAGATCCAGGAATAACCCCTGTGCATCGTCAGGTGTGACCCAAAAAGAAAAAAAAAAGTGCTCGGAGCCCAGGGTTCCTGGGCTCACTCTGATGTCTTCCAATGCCAAATCTTCGCCTTCCTTTCACTTACTGTGTGTGAGTGTCTAGGTGATGTTAGGGACACAGATGTGGTGGAGATGAAATACAGGTTCACTTTTGGTTGGGGTTTTTTTTTTTTTTCACTCTGACTGATTTGTACCAATCAAATGAGTCTCGCCAGACAAATGTGGTGTTTCTCATAAATATCTTTACGATTAACTCCTTACCCACAGGGCATCTGTAAAGAATCTGCCCCTCTCTAGAGGCCTGAGCGACACCGAGAGAATGCAACTTGCTTAAGTTGAGCTAGCGTGGGTTCTGTTGTTTGAACTGTATTTTCTCGTGTGAATTGGTCTGTGGGTTCCCAGTTTCGTCTCTGAGGCCCGCTGACCATCCCCGCTTCCCTAAGAGACCAGCCACTCTGTTCAAAATGTAATATTGGCTTCGACTACGTTTTTTCAGAAAGAATTCCCTTGGAGAAATATGCCTGTAATTAGTTCTATTTGCAGATTGTGTTGTGTGTCAGCAGATAGCTGCATGGGAATTTTTTGTTTTTTAAAACCAGGAAAATTCACTTGCATAGGTAAATGAATTTGAACTCACATTTTGAGTCATCTCTGATGCATATTGGGCATTTAGGGGTCAAAGTGGATGGTTCAGAATGAGGTTGGAGGAAATCCTATTTTAGCATTAGCAAAGCAGTAGCAACCTATTTTCCATGAAACAGGAGCAGGAGGGGAGGTTCAGAGCAATAGTACAGCGGATAGGGCACTTACCTTGAGCACTGCCGGCCTGGGTTCGATTCCCTGCATCCCATACAGTCCCCCAGGCCCCTCCAGAAGTGATCCCTGAGCACAGCCAAGCGTGGCCCAAAAACAAACAATAAGCTAAACAATAATAGGAACCAAATACATAGTTCACACCCAAATGCAGGGCAGCTGACAGTTGTGGATGCGTGAAGCCTCTGTAATACACTGCGATCCTTTCTACTTTGATTCTGAATGGTAATTGTGTTTACTCTCAATTTTTTTTAAATTGAATCACTGTGAGATACACAGACACAGGTTGTTCATGGCTGTATTTCAGTCACACAGTGTTCCAGTACCCGTCCTTTCACCAGTGTACACTTCCCACCAGCAGTGTCCCCAGTTTCCCTCCTGTTACCCTCCCCATCTGTCTCCCCACCCCCCTGTCCCTGCCTGTCATAGAGGCAGACACACTCCCCCCCCCCCCCCACAACTTCTGGGCATTGTGGTTTGCAATACAGGTACTAAGAAGTTAAAGGACCAGGAGGACGGGTCCGCAGTTGGAAGCTTGCCACAGTGGAAGGGCAGGGAGACAGCAGTTGGGATAGAGAAGGGACCGGTATGACACCGATCGTTAGAAATGGCCACTCCGGACAAGAACTGACTACTGATAGATAGTAGGTGAAAGGGTAATACTAGAATGTTTTTTAATTGTTGCCATTGAATTCTACTTCTTCAAATCACAGCATTTTAAGTACTTTCCACCGATGCCCTTGGGGGTTCTGAGGACTGTTTTATCAAGTTGCACATAATACAAACATAACCCAAGTTATGCAAATAGGCATTTTTTCTAAAACCAGAGGAAAAGCCACAAGTAATCTGAAAAGATGGAAACTTGATTTTAGAAAGCAGCATTTTTGTCGTCGTTGTTCAAAGTGGCACCTTTTTCAAAGATGTAGCACTCGCGTTTTGTGATCTGAAAGGTGGTCACAAGGATTTTCTGAATTGAGTTAGGACTTGTGTGTTTCTCACATTTGGGACCGTAGTGAGATGTCAGCGGCTCTCTGCACCTTCGCACAAATAGCCGAATGCTGAGGCTTTCGAGGGGACACTCACGGGCCCTGCACCCTGACTCTCACAGAGAGCCCCCCTCGGGCCAGGTCAGACACACCGAGAGACCCCCCACTCAGTGCCTCTGTAGTTCTTTTATTTATTTAAGTATTTATTTATTTGCCTTTTGGGTCACACCTGGCGATGCACAGGGGTTACTCCTGGCTCTGCACTCAGGGATTACCCCTGGCGTTGCTCAGGGGACTCTATGGGATGCTGGGGATCGAACCCGGGTCAGCCGCGTGCAAGGCAAACACCCTCCCTGCTGTGCTATTGCTCCAGCCTCTGTAGTTCTTGATTTGCTTTAGGTTTGCTCTAAACCTGATTTCTCCTTTAAGAACTTACACTGGCGGCCTGAGCAGGTAGAGCCCTTACCTTGCACAAAACTGACCCAGGCTTAATCCCTGACACCCCATATGGCCCCCCCCTGAGCCTGAGAGGAAGCCCTGAGAACGCCAGGTGTGGCCCCAAACAGTAGCAAACCATCCCGGGTGCTCAAAGGCCAGGTCGGGCATTCCACAAGGCCTGCACTGGAACTGATAGAAATCTGTTCTGATTTTTATTACAAGGTAATTTCGCCTTAGATTTGTAAATCACTTTTATGATTACACGGGTGACATCTTTTTGGTATTTTCCCTCGAGGGAGCCAAAAGATGAACCGTGGGCCTCCTTCATCAGAGAGACTTGAGCTCCCTAGTAAGCTGGCACGGCGGCAGGTGGGGAGACTGTGCCAGTCGTCTTTTTTCTAATGAAATCAGGTTTGCTGGTTATTGTTCATTTAGGGGGTTCTTGGACCACATCAGGCCGGGCTCAGGGAACTTTCCTGGCTCTGTGCTCAGGAATGACCCCTGACCCCGGCAGTGCTCACAGGACACCATCTACAGTGCCTGGGATGGAGCCAGAGTTGGCTGAGGACCGTGTGCAAGGCGAGCGCCACCCCGGTGCTGTCCCTCCGGCCCGTTTTCATGCCCTTGAGTGCCGGAGGCAACCGTCAGCTTAGGACTCCACCTGGGTCCCACTGCTGCCTCTCTTGGCCTAAGCAAGTTGTCTTTTTTTGTGCGTGAGCCGAATGTCGATAGTAAAAAGTAATTAATACCTGCATCAGAGTTTCAAGTGTGCGACTACGCCAGAGTATATAAAAGTCTTCTCTAAAAGCCAAACAGCCAAAACTATTTTTCCTTTATTCTTGGCGGTGGAACCTCCCAAGCCCAGTGCTCAGAGGGCCTTAGGGGCACTCCCAGCCTACCCCGCCTGGCCGTGCAGAGCCTGGTGACACCAGGGACCACCAAGGCCACACCCAGTGGCGCCAGGAGGAAGGCCATGAAGTTCCAGGAACCAGACTCCGGGCCTGTAGTCCTCGCCCCGGCCCCTTCCCTGATTCTTTCGCTTTTGTTTTTGTTTTTTTTCAGAGGAGCAGGGACACCTGGCTGCTCTGGGCTTCCTCCTGGCTCTGCACTCAGGAGTCACTCCTGGCAAGCTCGGGAGATCATCTGGGGTGCCGGGAATCGAACCCGGGTCAGCCGCATGCATACAAGGCAGTCGCCCTCCCTGCCATCTTATCGCTCCAGTCTCTCTCCTTCTTATTATTATTATTATTATTATTATTATTATTATTATTATTATTTTAGATCATACCCAGCAATGCACAAGGGTTACACTCCTGGCTTTGCACTCAGGAATTACTCCTGGCGGTGCTCGGGGGACCATAGGGGGTGCTGGGAATCAAACCCGGGTTTGCAAGGCAAACGCCCCACCTGCTATACTATCACTCCAGCTCCTCCTGATTATTTTTGATAAATGAACGCACTTCCTCCTTGTCCTCAAAGTAGGCAGCATTCATGCAAGGATAGATCATGTGTATATCCATTCTTTGCGGTTCTGTACATCCCGGGAGCGATAGAGCGTTGAATCATGCTGCGTTTTTAACACTGCTCTGCCTTCAAAACAGTACATCACTCCATTTTTAAATTTGAATTCAAGAATCCCCGAAGGAACAGCTACAGCACGTGGCTCTTATTCACTGCAGAAGAGCATCGCGCTGTAAATGACGGGCAGGCAGCTTGCTCAGGAGTTTTTGTCAATTCCCTTCAGGCCGCCCCTGGCTCCAGAGATGTAGGGAAACACCGGGGAGCCTGGATGCTGCTGAGTGTTGGGACCCAAGGCCTGAGGGGAAGGAAATGGAGACTGTCCTGAGTCAGGGTGGGGCCTATGGCAACAGCTGACAAACACACAAAGATGAGGGCCCCCGGAACTGTGGTACCACGAGGAGGGCGGTTGCTTTGCACCTGACTGATCCTTGTTCATTCCCCAGCATCCCAGATGGTCCCCCGAGCACCGCCAGGAGTAATTCCTGAGTGCAGAGCCAGGAGGAACCCCTGAACATTGGAGGTTGTGGCCCCAAAAGCAAAAAGAAAGATTTCCTGCCCTCTTAATACCCATTCTGTTATTATTTCCAGATCCCGCTCTTTTATTAATATTATTGGGGGGGGTGGTCTCCCAAGTGGTACTCAGTAGGCAGACTGCTGGGTCAGTGCCAGCGCCCAAGGAGAACGCTGTCCTGTGATGTGGGCATCTGGGTAGTCTAGGAGGGTATATATGGTGCCGGGAACGGAACCCCGGTCAGGTGCCGGCTTCCGCTGCCCTGTCTCCCACCTCCACGATTCCTGTCCTCTGTCCCTCCTCCTCCTCCGTCTAATCCGAGATACGGAGACACTGTGTCCCGGGAGTAGTGCGCGGTGGAACGGAGACTTTCAAGGGTGCGGGGAGGTGAGCCGGGGCCTCTGGAGCCGTTTTCGCTTCCTTTCAGCACCTGCACTTCTCACGGGTCCTTTTCCCTGAGGTGTGGTTGTCCCCTCCGTCTACTCAGAAGGCGGGGAAGGTGCCCGGGACCTGCGGGTCCCTCTCTCCATCTCTGCAGCCTCGGCCCCAGCCAACATTTATAGCCTGACGAGAGTCTGGAAGCCGACCTGCGCCCCGCGAGCGTGCTGGGTCCCCGGCAGCCCTAACTTGCCCTGCCTTTCTTTTGTCTCTGCAGTCGACCTGCCCCTGTTTTTCCCTCGAGACCAGCCGACTCTCACATTCCAGTCTGTCTACCACTTCACCAACAGTGGACAGCTTTACTCCCAGGCCCAGAAGAATTACCCCTACAGCCCCCGATGGGATGGAAACGAAATGGCCAAGAGAGCAAAGTAAGTGACTCCCTTGGGGGGACGATTTTCTGTTCATCTCCCCAGGGTCTGCCCCTAAGCGAAAGCCTTACTGTGCCTCCCTTAGTCAGTGTCGACCAAGACACATGCCCCTTTATTATTATTATCTGTGGCTTCGGAGGTCGAGAGCCCAGGAAAGCAGTGTTGACTATTTGCTCCTTCAGGGGAAGAGCTTACCAGTGCTCTGTCTGACCTTATCAGGGCCTTTGCTTGCTTTTCCTTTTTTCTTTAAAACGGACTGCAGGATTTGTCAGAAACCTACTTTTTCCTACTTAGACTTGAAGAGTCTTAGAAAGAGAATTAGAGTTGTAACTACATGGCATCGACAATGGCAACTGCCTTCATGTTCTGCTTTTATAAGGTGGAAAGTATCAGTCACCAGTAAGCAAGTAGAATGGTTAATGCTTAGCTGTCAGCCACGGGGTCTGCGGCTCATTTTCCCCCAAGCCAGTAAGGGCTCTGGACACATGTTCTGTGGTTGAATGAATGGCTGTGCAAATAGGCAGAAACCGCGCAGATCACTCGGAAACTGTCTTGGGAGTTGGCTAAAGGCTTGCATACTCCAAACTGTATCTCGGAGCTGCAGTTTGGAGTTCAGAGTTATCACAACACCCCCCAAACCTTTCTGAAGAAGCTTTCCTCAGCCCCAAGGAGTAGGTCAGTGTATAAATAGCCTTTTGTGAGGGTAAGACTTTGAGGATCTGGACAGTCTCTCTACGAGCCCTGGCCGCCGAGATTAAAGCAGCAGCAGTGGGCCCAAACGAGTCTCCAAAAATAGATCATAGTTAGCCTGGCCGTTGGTCACTGTCACCCAGAACAACTGCGTGTGCACACGTCCCTTCATATACTTTTTTTGCAGGGATGGGCGCACCTGCTGGTACTCGGGGTTCACTCCTGGTGGTACTTACTCAAGGGCCGTATGGGGTCCCGGGGCTCAAACCTGGGTAGGGTACTCGAGGGGCAAGTGCCTTATCCGTTGACCAACCGGAAGTCCCACGCTAAGTACACCAGTGGTAAGCAAGCGAGGAACTGTCCTGGTCCCTGTGGGAATGAGAGTCTAGTCAGACTGCTGCTCGCTAAGCCCGACCCTCAGACCTGGACCCCTCGCTCAGTAGGGCCCTGTGCGCCCGCTTCCCCTCCCTGGCACCTCGTGGTCACCCACGGTGACTTCCTGGCATCTCGCTAATAGCAGGATTGGGTGGGTGGGGGGCGATTCTTTTCAGTCCCAGCGTGTTTTTTTTTCTAGAAACCCAGACCCTCCCCCCAATTGGGATGTGGAAGCCAAACTGGACAGTGGGTCCTCTCATCTCTCTGTGATGGCCTCTCTGGAGATTCTGTGCGGGGCTGGGAGTGAGGGGGGGAGTACAGATATAACTAATATCGATGAGTGTGGCTCTCAAAATACTCAAAATTGGGGGGGGCAGATAGACTCAAAAACGAGGGGGCAGAGGAACTGCATGATCGGTTTTCTGTTTGTGGTAGGTACTGCAAACCATTTGCTTTTTCTGGATTCCCCCGTGCGCTCAGGAACCTGCCTGTCAGAGACGGGCTGTTATTTGTGGTGTGTGCTACAGAGTGCGAACCAGACAAGTCCTCCTGGTTTCCATGGCAAGAGAGACGACAAGGAGCGGGGAGGGAGAGAGGAGGAGAAGGGGAAGAACAACCCCTCCGAGGCCCACCCGCCCCGACACCGGCGTGTGAATGTCGGGAGGGCCTGTTGGTCTTAGCAGATCGGTTCAGAGTTGCGGGAGACGTTTGCTCGAGGTTAACACCAGCCTAAAGAAAACATCTGAAGTCATGTTTTTTGGGGAAAAAAAAAATCTCCTTTCCCACTGTAGCCAAGAGAACTTCGTTTTCCATGCCATAATAAAAAGAGAATAGTAACTCTCGCTAGGAGGGAGAAAACGGGGCTCCGCACTCCCCGGAGAAAAGGCGATCGATCAAAGCTCCCTTGCTCAGTTGAGCAGAACCGTTTCCCCAGACCCGTGTTGGACAGCCAGGTAATGGCTAAGCTCGCACGGATACGAGGCCGCAGGAGGGGGCTGGCCACAGAGAGGAAAGCCGATCGCAACATTCCTTCCACGCCCTGCTGCTTTGTCCCGCGAAAACACAGTATGTACACCGTGCATGAGTGGCCACCACTCTCTCAGAGAGGCCCGGGCCCGTGACAAAAGCCCCGTCACGGCCCGGAGCAGTCTCGAGCCCTGGCTGAGCTGGAGGCCGTTCCCACACACCCAGAGAGGCCCGGGCCGGGTGCTCACCTGGGCTCTTCCCGCACCCTATACTCCTGGCCAGGGCTGCCCGGCAAATCCTGGCCCCTATCCCGGAAGCACAGGCCTTGGGGTTATGCGTATCCCCCGCCCACTGTACCACACCTTTGGGTGCTCCTCGTGGCGGGCGTAGCTTTCTGAGCGTCATCCTGCCACCGAGGCCGTCCTCCTGCCCACGGCCTGAGTGGGGGGGCGCATGGAGGCCCCTGACACCAGCTGTGGCTTCGTCCCTGCTTCCTTCTCCCCCTTCCGTCGACTCTCTCTCCCTCCTCCCGAAGGCTCATTGCTGGTTCCTCCCTCCCTGGTGCCCGAGGGAAGCGTCGGGTTCTGTGTCCGTGTTGATGGCGTCGGAAGACTCAGGAGCAGCTCGCAGCATCTCTGAGGCCTTCCCGTTTCTTTTTGTATTCTCACACCACATCCTGAGTGGCCGTTGAAATTTCAACCCATCTCTTTCGATATCTGGATTTCTCCGGCCCGCCTTGGCCCTTTCTGTGTTTTGGCACGCAATCGTTTCCATCCAGAACTTTGCAGGAAGGCTTCCATGCAGACTCGGGAGACGGTTTGGTCTTCCTGATAGACTGCCTTCCTGTCACAAGTGGACTCTCTCCGAGGAGCTGGCAGGAAGTGCTCCGAGCTCTAAACTCTGCGTGGCTGCTGTTAACATAGCTGGTACCCGTGTGCCCCGACTTCATTTTTGCGTGTGTGGTGTGTCTTTTTTTTTTCATCCTTAGCCTGTTTATGTCTGGATTCACCAGGGAAACTGCATATTGGTTGTTTTCTCTTTTTCTTTCAAAGTCGAGAATCTCTGCCTTCTAATTGGAGCTTAGGGTTTCTTTATACTTAGGGTGACTAGTTTTATGAAACTGTTACATGAAACAATGGCTGTGTTTAACGCCACCATGCTGCAACTGTTTCCTTCCCTTATTCTTTGTTCTTTTGCTCTTTTCCTTAAAATCTGTTTTTCTTTTCTTTTTTTTTCTACCAAGGCTTTTTTATTTCTTAATTACCATGAGATACACAGTTACAAATTTTCACCGTCGGGTTTCAGACATGCAGTGTCCCAACACCCATCCCTCCACAAGTGTACATTTCCCATTACCAGTGTCCCAAGTTTCCCTCCTGCCACCCCTAGCCCCTAGATTGTCTCTATGGCAGGCGCTCTCTCTCTCTCTCTCTCTCTCTCTCTCTCTCTCTCTCTCTCTCTCTCTCTGCCTCCCTCCCTCTCTCCCTCTCTTTTGGGGCATTATGGTTTGCAATACAGATACTGAAAGGTTAGCATGTTTGTTCCTTTACTTACTTTCAGCACACAGTTCTTATCCAGAGTGATCATGTACAGCCATTTTTGTCACAGTGGTCCCTTCTCTGTCCCAGCTGTCTTCTCCCCTAGCACCTGAGGCAGGCTTCAAACCCTGGACCAATCCTTCAGACTCTTGTTTCTGTTGTCTGTGGGTATTAGCCTCATATTATGTTTTCTCTGTCCCACAAATGAGTGAAGTCATTCTATGTCTGCCCCTCCACTTCTGGCTCATTTCACTCAGCATGATACTCTCCATGACATTCATTTATAAGTGAATTTCATGACTTCATTTGCCTAACAGCTGCGTAGTATTCCACGCAGATGTAGATGTACCATAGTTTCTTTAACCAGTTTTCTGTTCTTAGGCACTCGGGTTGTTTCCAGATTCTATTGTAGATAGTGCTGCAGTGAACATACAAGTGCAGATGGCATTTCTGCTGTGTGTTTGGGGGCCTCTAGGCATTTTTTAAACATGCTTTTCTTTCTTCAGTTGGCATCTTAGCCGTAGCGCTTTGGGTCAAATTCTAGTCATTACACACACTAAAATACACCCTGAACTTATCACAGTCTACCGTTAACACGGTAGCACTTCAAATATCAGAAACTTGAAGCATCTGCTCCTGACCTATGTTATATCTCCCTTGGCTCTTGAGTTAAATTTTTTACTCTTATTTTTAATTTTTTGTTACTATCTTTCCTTTTCTGGGTTTTTTTTTTTTTTGGCCATCAGGAAGTACTTTACAAACAAAAATCCTCATTGAGTCAGTGTGGTCCACACTATTCTTAAATGCATTCCCCGGAGCCAGCCACTGGCCTCCATGCCAAGGAGCTCTGTCATCGTAGCCACATGAGAGCTGCCCCTGTAGGAACTGCACCCTCTCCTGCAGGCCCTGGGCAGTGCTCCCTGGCCAACCTGCTCATCCAGCAGCTGGGCTCAGGGTGCTCCCCTAGCCCTCCTCCCCCCCATGCTTCTGTTGTCATCAGGGCCCATCTCTGGCTGTTCTGCATGCTCACAGGCAGGCGTCCACAGTGCCCCATTCTCTCCCTGCTCAGTGGGAGTCGCCTCTGCAGGGGGCATGCAGGGAGGGTCCTGCCTGTGGCCCTGAGGACCTCTGTCCCCAAAGCTGCGCAGAACCGGGTCTCTCACCCTGGCAGCTGCTCCCCGGGGTGAGGAATGCTGGGAGGTGGCGAGCATTTCAGACTCCTCCTTGCTGTGCGGGGTAATGTCCAGCGTGGGGAACACTCAGGAAGTGTTTGCCGTCAGCAGGAAAAGCCCTGGAGGAAAAGGGGTTTATAATTCAAAGGTCGCAGTCAGCCCTGCACCCCCGGAAATCGTGCCTGGACCTCACTGACTTGGCCAGAGACCGGGAAGTTCTGGCCTGCCCCATCTATGGTTCTTGGCTCCCACCCCCACC